GCTGACCACTCAGCCACAGTAGCCTGGTTGCCTAACTCACCCGCTAATATATAAACTCGTTTCAGCGTCAACACCAACATTTCGTCAAAGTATCGCAAACCATTGTTCTACCTTGTGCTGACTTCAGCGGGGCACCAGCAGCCCGCAGGGAGTGCAAAATGCGTCGGGAATCATTGCCTGATCCGGAGGAAGCTGATGGTTTATTCAGCTGAAAGGGCACCTTAATGAAACTGCTAACCGAGCCCTAGAATAGTTCTTACGGAGATGTGCCGAGCGGCAAGGCAATTTGAAATTGCCATCTGGGCCAGCCGCTCTATCGCGTTCACTCCTTCGTTACAGGGCTCAAAAAGGAATCTCGGTTAACCTTTTTGGGACATGACATAATACATCTACATATTAGGAAGATCTTTCCCATCTACTAGAATCTAGCATTGAAGGAGTAGAACGCGATACGAGCGGATGGTTTAGGAGCCTGTCCGTCACCTGAACTTGCTGAAGGACATCCCCATCGCCCAGCCTCCGACGACGTCGGCGACCGAGGAGACCGGCATGACGATTCAATGATCCACGTGATTGACAGCTGGGAACGTAGGTCCGTCGAGAGCAGAGAAAGTAGACCATAGCATGACAAGGTAAGTGGACGAAGAAGGTTCGGCTCGTGCGCGGAGGCTAGTCCTGCGCGTATATATGATGCCCAACGCTAAGCAGAATCCTGAGAGATTTCACTCGATATTACAAGGATAACACGAGCAAAAAGGGGCATCTCGTCCCGGTTGGGATCGTTCTAGCTTACATTTCACCGCACTCTGCACACAACAAAGGGTAAACCGGTCAGGGCAGAGGAACCCCCCAACGAGGCCTGGAGGACGTACCGACTATCTTCACGGCCAGTTTCGGCCGGTTGTTGGGCCCAGTGGGCACGTTCTCGATCTTGCGGAGGGTCAACATCCCGTCGATCACCCGCCCGAAGACGACGTGCTTTCCGTCGAGAAAGTCGCACTTCGCGGTAGTGATGAAGAACTGGGGGTTCGTGAGCGGTCAGCTCCTCCACAAAAATGGACGCAGCGCATGACGAAGACGTACTTGACACCCGTTTGTGTTCGGCCCCGAGTTTGCCTGGAGGAATGTGAGAGTCCAGCCACCAAGCACGGCGCTGCAAATGGTCGCACCATGGATAGCAGGCCAGGTCCGGTATGCTTTTCGATAAAATTTTCGTCCTAACGGGCAGGTCAGTGAGAATGTAAGGTAGACAAAACGACGGTCGGACGCACTGGGAATTTATCGCCGTAGATGGAGAACGTCCCCGTTCCGTCCCCTTTCAGAAAGTCGCCACCTATGATCGTTCAAACGGGTGTCCATTGAGGCTCTGGCCCGGTGAGACGAAGGAGCGTCTGGGGAATCGGCGACCATACCTTGGCACATGAAATTCGGAACACTTGCGGCACGTCAATACGATACGGCGATCGGATGAAGACTGTCCGCACTCACACTCTGCAGGGTAGAGTCAGAATGCCGTCACGAGGCAATTAAGGTCCATACTGGTCTCACCGATGAAATGTCGCGTTCTTGTACCCTTGCGGCCGCGAATTGACTCTGTACTCGCCCGTGCAGAGCTGACGGAAGTTTTCCGCAGTCCTTAGCGTACTATCAGTCGTCTGCGCTCAGAGCAACGCGTAGATGGACACACTTTGGGACGATATCGCTGAACAGCTCCATCTTCAATCGACCTGCTGGGGTCTCTCCGATGTTGATGTCCATGAACACGATAGGTCTTTGGTTGCCCGACATATTGGGTCGTCTTGCTCAAAATGCCGTTCGCTTCGGTGTCTGGGTGTTGGTTGATTGCCAGAAGTCGCGGTGAGGCGGGGCCGGGAATATTCGAGATCGGAGCAGAAGGCAGGTCGCAGCTGTGGCGGGTATGGCCTGAGCTCGAGCTTGTTCGCCGCAACCGCGACCGCTGCCCGCTGAGATGTCGTACTTCCTCCCTCACCTACCCTCTGGCTGGCACGTCGATGAAGCCATCAAATCGGAAGAGGATCGAGTCGTCGTCATCCGGTTCGGCCACGACTGGGATCCCCAGTGCATGACCATGGACGAGACGCTCTACTCCGTCGCGGAGAAGGTGCAGAACTTCGCTGTGATCTATCTCTGCGATATAACGGAAGTTCCGGACTTCAACAAGGTGCGTCGATCACAGCCTTTCTGCGAAACCGTTCGATGACAGTTTGTGTGCGCAGATGTACGAACTTTACGACCCTTGCACTGTCATGTTCTTCTACCGGTACGCTCTGCATCGTAATCTTCAGTCTCCGCCAGTCATTGACGAGAACACCGTGGACAGTAATAAGCATATAATGATTGATCTCGGTACCGGTAACAACAACAAGATGTATGTGATGACTTATCTCTCAGCGTCTTCCGGGCTACTCACCTACGTTCCATCAGTAATTGGGCCATGGATAACAAACAGGAGGTTTGTGGCACCCGCCTATTCATAATATGTTACTGATCTACCTTCAGCTGATTGACATCATTGAGACCGTCTATCGCGGGGCCTCCAAGGGTCGTGGTCTTGTGGTCTCACCCAAAGGTGAGCGCTGTGCTCTAGATGCGAAGGCTGCTGCTGACACGCTTGCTCCTCAGACTACTCAACCCGCTACCGATACTAATGAACGGCTTATCTGGCGTTTTCATACTGTCAGCTGTATCATATTCCAGGCATGCTCAATCAAGCAGCGTTCTTCGACGCTTCTCCATGATTGTGTTCGTTACTATGGACCCACCCCTAATGCAACATTCACCCCTAATGCAACATTGACCTAAACACCTTTCCTGTTCCTTTCCCGCTCACTCGTGTGCCTCAAAAAAAGTTCTGTGTAGAGTAAAGTATCCAACCTTGGTGTATGCGAATGCTGAAGTCTGTGCGTGATCTGGTTCAAGCTACAAAAAACATCAACCCTTCTTCAACAGGCTGATGCAACATGTCGCGGCTGTCGCACAGCTTCGCTTCGCTGGATCGGGAAGGAAGAAATTATGAAAATATTACCCGTCATTATAGACAGTGTATCCTACATATAAAACCAGCCCGATTAGTGTTTGGTACATAATTGAGGCTGCAGGAGAGACCATAAGAGAAAGGACGGTATTGGCGTGACAGATGAATTCAGGCGGAGCCTGAATCAAGGTGTTGCCGTCTCAATGTCATGACTCACGACTTCGCAGCTTGCTGGCAGAGTGCATCTTTGTCGTGAACAGGATCAGCGCAGATCCCGCAGACTTAGTAGTATCAGCCGGTAGCTTTTCCTGGCACTTGCCAGGTTTTTGACGCACCCATGCCACTCAGATATCTCTTCGGGGCTTCACCCCTTTCTGTCCCGCCGGCTTTGGTTGGATTTCTCGTGTACTTAAGCCTTACACTCGCCGCCTTGTATCCTCGTCTTGGCAATGCCAGTGACTCACACTTGTACTTTCCTTGCGCTACCTAAAATCTATTTACTTCCGCCCTCGTCTCGACTCGTATCCAACCTTGGCCATCACAATCTTCATTAACAATAACTTAGCTTAAAGACACGAGGGTGAGGTCTGTCACCTTGTATGGCTAGTATGTCTTGCATGAGCTAATGCTTAGTTGCTCGAAGATGATGAGGGGCGGAGGGGTGACCCAATGGCAGAACAAGGTGCTGGAGAGAAATGAATGTCAGAGCAAAGTGAAACACGCCCTTTGCGACCTCAAGCAGGGGGATTACAAAAATCCCTCGCAAGCTGCCTCTCAACTGGGTCTTTGTAGCGGTCCACAGACGTATACCATGATTGCTTCTTTTTTCCACCGGAGAAGGAAGATCGATGCAATGGAAGGGCACCCCAATGACTAGTGTCTTACTGGACAGAGGTAAGACGTTGAAGGTGAGGTTGAAATTTGGGTCGGGTGGATGGGCAACAGAAGATGGCGGCTTGCCATGTTGTTGCTTGTAGGGACATAGCTGGTACTTCTGTAGATAATCTGCCCAGCAGCGACCATGCCTAGACATTCTCCAGCCCCTATATCAAATCAGTATCTGTCCTAGTATAGTTTGAATCGACATTGGACTTACCTCACAGTCAAGTTCTTGAAGTAAGCCCTGGTGTTATTGATGTCAGGGGACTCCAAACAAACTAAGTTTCTGTCTTCGTCGGTCATGTTGAGAACGACATGAAAGCACACCATGCAGTTGATCATCTGTAAGGCAGGTATTA